CCCTTGCCCAGCCCCTTGGTGTGAGTCTCTTCAGTCTGGCAAGTCAGCAGACACAGTTACTAGGGGGGTCTCTGCTGGGGCTTTGTTCCCTGAACTGCTACAGGGCTGGCAAGGACTTCACAGGAGCACATCAGCCAGAGCAGGAAAGCAGTATGGGTTAATTCCTTTTGTAGGGAGTTGGATGCCAGATAAGCTCTCCCACTGTGTGAAGCCTCACACTCACCAAGTAATTCTTTCAGTGAAACCACCCGTGAAGCAAATGAGTCCTTAGGATCTTGTCCTATCACTACTGTGTTATATATACGCACTCTGCACACACGCACATCCACACACCCTGTATCTAATTGTTGAGGTGAAGAGTTGCCAGGGGATATGAGAACAAAATATGTGACAAATTATTTTTTGTTTTTCTTTTTATTAAGGAAAATTCAGATACCATCCTAGGTCAACATGAACTCTCAGAATTTTTATCCTAAAAAGAGAATTGTATCAAGAGGTTCAGTTATCCATGTTTCTACTGGTACATTACTGCAAGCACCAAGGCAGTTTTATTTAGTAAATGAAGACAGGGACATGCTCTCAGTGGTGTAATAGCTTTCCCATTTTCAAAAAAAGATGGAAGATTTACTGTGGAATTGAATCCCCAACAAGAAAAAAAAGTTCATTTAAACCTTTCACAATGTGAAAGAAAAAGCCTTTACTCTGAGGATGCAGAGCAGCAGCTAAAGGAACTGGGATGGAGCTCACAGACATCAGAGCTCCTCGGCACCATCAAGTGGTCCAGCCTTGATGACAACACATTCACCTTCTGTAGCACCATCTGCCACAGGCTTCAGTCACTTTGCCAAACAACTCTTCCCAGTACACAAGTTTCTGCTGCTAATGAGGTCGCATCTAGCAGAAGAACAGGAACCCCAGTCAAACTCCAACAGCATCCCGATTACACTGAAAAAAGATCCAATCACAGCCTGTTTTTGGACAGCGAAGCATGCAAGATCTTGGCAGCAGATCCATCTAGGCAGCCAGAAAGAAGCTCTTCAGGCTGCTTAGAGCTCTGAAAGGCAACACATTAACAGACCTCCAAGTGCCAGCTTTAGAAATTTGGGAGGAGAAGAGGGACAGAATCAATTTAAGCGACTTGCACCGTTCTAGCTACTGATGCAGGTGACTGTGACAGTACTAACCATAACTGACTGAATTTCTTGTAACACCCAGTAAAAGGGAAGATGAGCATCAGCAACCATTCTGAGTTTCTCTACATTAATGCGCTCTTTTCACTTAAGCCAAATTCTGAGGTTTAAAACTGGAGTAAAGGGATTCATCTTTGAGCATGGCACTGCACTCATAAGTAGATGGCGTATCTTTGCAAATGCTCTCTGGCATGTGTGACTAACAGTTGGTGACAAACTTCTGTCACACATGTTGAGTACCTGCTGGAGATAAGGTTGTTCAAGCTGCATTTGCAAATCTGGTGTGCAGTCAGGTATAGAGAGCCATGTAGTAGAGCTGCATACCACCCCCCAGCTCCAGGCAGGACCTGTCCGGGATGCAACAAGACTTGTCAGGTTGTTACTAGTTCCTATGGGAGACAAAACATGGCAGTTCATTCTCTACAAAAGTCCTAAATCAGATGGATTAATGTCTATATTGGGAAGGAAAAAAGTGCTTAATGACTTCTACACCCTTGGTTAGCTGCAGCCCTAATTGGTAGGAAGTCTCCATCACTCCTTTCCCTCAGATAGGCCCTAATTGGTAGGAAGTCTCCATCAGTCCTTTCCCTCAGATAGGGCCTCCAAACAAATAGATGTCTGGGAAATAGAGACATCTGTAACAAAGAGCATCTTCTAGAACAATTCCAGCTGAATCAGTACAGCAGCAGCAACACAGACATCCAGGAAGGCTAGAAAAGAGCTGGCACCTACAGCTATCAAAGACTGAATCTTTCCAAACACCTCTTGTAAGAGACCAGAAAGAGAAAACAGACGAATAGATATCTGAAAAGAGCAATGTGTAACTGGAATCCAGAACTGTATCACAACTGAAAACGATTTTCTTTGCAAAAGAAGTCAACATACATATGGATCTCAGTTGCGAAGGCAAGCTTTTGGTTGACTGACTGCAGAAGAAAACAACTGCCAAAGAAGTTAGGCTAGACAAAGAAACAAGACCACTTGTGTCAAGTAATGAATACAGAAAACATCCCACAACTCCAATAAACAATTTTTGAACCCCTGCCTAGGAAGAAAACAAGATTTGCCCCCAGGAAGATGCAATTCACTTGATTTGACTTGCAGGCGTGGAATGGTCCAGTGAAGCCCCTTTCATTAAACCATGTCAGCTCCGTTTGAAAGGACAGCATTGGTTTCAGGGTGGATACTAAGATGGTAATCTATGAACAGGTCTCAGTGCACCTGCCCATTTCTTTGTTGTCCCATCTTCAGACAGATTTCATAGGAAGGAGAAAAATCTGAGTTCCCCCCCGAAGCAATATCCAGAGTCTCTTTCTGTGTCGTTTAAGGTCTCCAGGTCACACAGTAAGGACAAAATTGCATTTGTACGCTAGTGAAGCCATTTTGAAGGATGTTAACCCAGACCCTGCCATTTGCCTAGGGTCTGCTTCAAAGCAGTGCCTGCAATCCTCTTCCCCAACTTGTCTAGTGCTAGTGAAAGTCTGGCCAGATGTTCCTCCTTGGCTAGTAGGAGCTCCAGGCTTTGGAAGGATGAAGGATGGAGGAGTGAGCAGATACAGAAGCCAACAAGCTTTCAGTTGATGCTGACAAAGTAGCCACCTATACTGCATTAGTTAGGGAAGATGTCACCTGAAGAGAGATTGTGTTTCTGTGTGAAGTATGTATATGTATACATATATTTTTAAGGGGTTGAAGCATAATCCTCATTACTCCCAAATTATCTATGACCATTCACAGATTATGTTACTTTTCATATGATAAAAGACTAGTACTCTTTAGGCTAGAATGATGACTCTTCTGTAAAACAACAATAAGGTAACAGGCAGCAGATAAGCACATAAGGAAATCAATTAAAAACAGAGCTTTAAAAAAATAACCCGAAGTAAGTTTCTACAGAACAAAATTAACTTGTGAAGCTTATTGACACAGTGTGTTATAAAGGGCGATAGATCAATCAAAAGGAAACAATGTAAGCCTGTGGAAAATAGACCAAGCCTATCTATTAAGACAGAAGCAACCTTTGTCTCTGCAAGTACCTAAACAGCAAAATACCAGAACTAAGGAAAACCACCGGTGACAGATCATCTGTCCATCCATCCATTTCACACACTATGTCCCTATGCTTGAGCAACCTCAAGACAACGAGCATTACAAGAAAAAGGTCATTAGGCAAATATGAGAGTCTCAGGAAGCCTTCTGTCAGTTGGCCTTGCGTCTCTAAAAATGCAGAAACAATGGCTGTTAAAATTTATTCATTCAGGATTACTCTATTCACATTTTCTGAACAAAACCAAACATTTGCATGATATGAAACACAACAGCCCACCCTGGGTTAAAATCTGAGGAACAATGACAAGTTAATCTATCCTGATTTTTCATTTGTTGTTGTTAGTTAAGGTATTTCAACTTGCTCCATTTGCAATGTCTTGTTAGGACAGAGCATTCAGCTTCTACTGACCAGTCTGAGCCCACTGAACACAAGACAAGGCAAAATAAAAAATAAAGTAACACTTCTGGTGCTGAAAGGCAGTATGGTGTAGGAAAAAAACATGTAGCATCACATGTCAACACCTTTATCATGAAGTTCTTTTTTTTAAGCCATCACCTACAATCTTTCTTAAGAGACTACTGTAACATACACACCTCTGCAAGTGTTGAACTAGTACTGCCATCACTCTTTTTGTTATTTTTAGGCAAAGAAAAAAAGTCACGTTTATTTTGTAGTAGCAATAGTTTCTTTTTTATTTTTAATATACTTTAGGAAACAATATACAAAGCCGAGCTTTGCCACCATTTTCAAACAGTGGGTTGCTCCAATTACACAAATTCAGCGTTTTGTGATGGTTAAGAACAGCAGTCAGCACCAGACTTAAACAGTTAGCTACAACACAAACATCCTTCGAAATGAAATGTCATAATATCAAGACAGGTAAACCAGGAGTTAACATATGACAACTGTTGGGGAGGTGTCTTAAATCATTCTTGTTGAATTTTATATTTCATTAAATATTTTATACACATTTTCCTGTTTACAAGTTTTAAACAAAACCTTCCTTGAGGAATTATTTAAGTACAAAAATGTTCAACAAGAACAGTTCTAATAAAGAATCCCCAAACAGACCAAATTTTAACGTGTGTTGACCAAAGGAAATGAAAACCAGTGTTTCTTTGTTTTAACATGTTTATTACAACAGATACAATTCACATCTGACTAGCTTTTTTTCCTCTTTCCCCTCCCACAACCATGTTAACATGTTCATTGGGCTATTTCCTTATATTTGAGCAAGTAATGTACTTTCAGCACACATGCCCAGCAGTACTATAAGTCCATTCTTACAGGGTGCAAATGGAAATACGTTTCAATAATTTATACAAACAAGTGGGTTATGCTCAATCACTGCAATTTTAAGCTACTGTACACAGGAATGAAAAGATTATAGAAAAAGTGCCATAGCAACAGTGCCTTAAGAAAAGAGAAAATTAGAAGCATTAAAAAACTGATAAAATCAGATTTAGGATTTCACGGGGAAATGGAACACAGAAAATGAAAAACATTTCTCTGTAAAACAGAAATGGAGAAGCACTGCTCTCGGTTCGGTGCAAGTGTGGAAACAGTTGTTTCATGATATTTTGTACATTACCCAAGTTGTTGCAGCCTTAGACACAGATCGCCTGGCGCTTGCATTGAATTTTAGGAAATGCAAAATTTCTGAACGATAAATTAACTAAAAAAAAAAAAAAAATAAAAGAAAAAAAAAAACGGGGCAAAAACAAAAAAAAAAAAAAAAAAAAGGGGGCAAAAAAAAAAAAAAAAAAAAAAAAAAGAAAGCTAATTTTGCAGACAGGTTTACATGTAAAAGGCTAGGTATTTAGCCACCTCAGCATTGATTAGTTTTGGATGTCTAAGCTCTGATACACATGGCTTCCCATGGCTTCACTCTACAAAACATATTTACAACGTGAAGAATACATCTACAAGAAATCTACATTTCAAGGGTTTTACAAATCATCCTTGTATCTTTCCCCTGAATTTGACTCCCTCCTGTCCCCTTCCCCATGTCAACTTTTTTCTGCCCAGCTCAACGGTCCAAAGTCTACTCAAATGCAGCTCAAAAGTGTTAAGACTGGGCAACAGTTTAATAGTTCCTGTACTCAAAACCATGTGCAATTGTTTACAACTTTTCACACCATGAAGGAATTCTGATTCTTTAGCTTTTCAAGTTCTTTAATTTGTTGCCTCAAAAATAGTATCCTGCAAGAAAAAAAGAAATAAATTAGTATAAACATTTCCAGTATACAGATATTAAGTATTTACATACATAGTTCTGTAATTTCAGTGAACGATACCATGCTCCTTAGTTCTATTAATAAAATCCAGATTTTTTTAAAGTCCCAAATCTGTTCAATCACCTACAAACACTGTATGCAGATGCAGAGACCTGCTGTGTTTGATACCGTAGTTCAGAAAATTAAGTCGCCTATATTTCATCATGACTGATACACACTTATGGTTAAGCCTGCTCTTCATCTGAATTTAACTCCCAGAAAAAGCAGGATACTGCAAGACTACACTGAATATTCTGAGGTATGGTACTGTGCCTGTGTCATAAAGTTTTCCAGACTGTACAAGAACCCAAAGCACTCATGAATCTTTTTTAAAGAAGTAAGTTTTCTTTTAGGTGCAACGCTTTTTTTTAACTATTTGTCTCTGTGGCTAGTGGTAGTCTCTAGTTACAGTAAGCTGAATCTCAAAATACCCAATCATAAAAAGGCAAGAAAAGAAGTCGTAACTACACCTGGCTTAGAAATTCCCTTATGCGTTTTCCCCCTTCTACTGACATAAACAATTACTGTGATTAATGAGTATTTGGTTTACATAACTATTTCCCATAATTTTTAATGAATATTTTCAAACACCTTTTCATGATGCTGAAGTGTAATGCAAGCATGTGGAATTAAGAAAAATATTCAAGGAAAGCTGAAGTTTCATATAAATATTCTATGACATCTGAAGCAAATTCAATTGATGCAGAAAAAGCATCTACTATCAGCTTTGATAATCCCATCATTTGCAAAAGCCTCCCCCCACCAACTTATTACTTATGCCATGTATTCCACATCTTTGGGATTGCAGCAAAAATAAAAGATACATGTTATCATAGACTCAAAGTCATAATATCCATTGATATCCATTGTCCATTGACAGCTTAAGGATAGCCAGTATACAAGAAGCAAGGTGCTATTTAGTGACCTGAACAATGATATCTGACAAGTTATTTCAGCTCAAATGTGCACCCAGACAGAAATGAAACCTTAGCAAATAAAACCTGTAGGAAACCAAGCAGTTCATTAAAGACACTACAGAAATTTAAATTTATATAATGAAGTATGAATAAAATTTCAGAAAGAACAGATATTTTCGGTTATTAGAAAAGATTTACAAATATATTATAGCCTGCTTCTGACTAAAGGATTGTTTTACTAACTGCCAAAAAGCAAGAACTTCTAGAATAAAGATAGTTATTTAAACAGTGTGCATTGCTACTAAAGCAGCTTAAAACAGTAAATCAGATTCGCTGTAATGTGACTCAATAGGTGGGATAACATCATTCAAAAGGGAAACTGAATATGAAAATGGATTTAGGATCATGACTACTAGTGAAAAGTTTCAGCATATATAAGTCTAAACGTTTCAACCTTGCACAACAGTCTTCAACAACATGTCTGTGTATTGCTTCAGTGTTACACAGAAGGCCTGTTATTAATGATTTACGAAGCAGAAGTCTACTTAGTTATAATCAATGTCCCACTAAAGAACCCAAAGATCTTCTCAGATGACTCCTAAGTAAAAACATTAATTCTCCCTTAGTTTGTGATATCTACCACATCTGTTCATACTTGCTCTGGCTTTAGACCTACCAAATGTCTCATACAAACTGTAGTGTTTAAGACTAGTATAAGCCATGCGGAAGTGTACCTATGAGATCTATGCATCATGTATGGACAGATATTTTACAAGTAAGATGAACTAGGAGGAGTTATTCTGTTTTTCATAATGCACTAATGTATCTGGAAAGGTACTACTTTACTAAGTGAAAATACATACAGAAGATGCATATCTGGTTCTATTCACTGAAAACTAAGAGGTATCTGTGTCAGAAACAGGTGAAATGTACGAAGGGAAGACAGCTTGCACACCTGGGAAGTATTAGCATACTTACAAAGTCATCAGCAAATATAGCTCACGCAAAACAATGCCAGAATGGGAATCAAATCCCACCTTGAAAGCTACCATTTTTTAAAATAAACAGAGAGCACACACTTACCTTTGCTCACGCAAAGTTGCTTGAATTTCACATACTCGAACTAAAGACCTTAAATTCTTTAATTCAGTACAAATTTCTGACATATGGACACTTCCCATGTTATGGGCTTCCTCACGTAATCTTGATGCCTGCAATGGTCACAAATAAAGGTTAGGATTTTGAATCATGCATTGGAAACAAGTGGTTGTTGCCAGAGAACTGCTGGATAAGTGTCTTGAAACAACAAAGAACTCTTAACTTCAAAAGAGAGTATTAAATCAGAAGTACATTAAATTCTCTACAAAAGCCCGTTTAGAATCAGAAATGAACAAAACTGGCTGCCAAGAGAACATCTAACCCAGGACCATGCTACGGCAGGGATGGTTTAGATTTTCTTGATCCTAGCAAACATTTACCCAACCATCTTGAAAGACAGACATGACAGGCTCCATGTTTCCACAGTTACTTGTTCAAATATTTAAGTCTCCATCCACTATTTCAATGGCAGACTTCAATTTCCCATCCAAATTAAGCCTTACTGACAAAACCCCCAATTGAATGCCATCTTCTTTCCAGCTACCTTATACAGGAAAAACCCCACAACTTTGCAACCCTCTTCAGGTTCTCTTCCATTATTTTAATATCCCCACTTAGTCAAGTGGAGACAAGCAGAAATTTAAGTTTAGAAGGTATGACCTATCCAAAACTTGTGCATTGCTTAAAGTCTTGTCATTGAACTGGATAAATGACTCTAAAGAATTCCTCGACAGCACCAAGGGGACTAGTGTAATTACTCTGAGGTCCTGTGTATAAATAAAGAAATAAAGTGGATTTCTTGCAAGTGGCACACCAAAGGAAAAAAAACAAAACAAACCAAAACATACAATCATAGAATCAAATTGTTTCAAATAAAGCTTTCCCTGTAGTCTTACTGTTTAGCAATGTTATTCTCTGCTGTACTGGGTCTGGCTGGGATGGAGTTAATTTTCTTCATAGCAGTCCATATGGTGCTATGTTTCGGACTTGTGACCAAAACAGTGTTGATAACACACTGATATTTTAGCTATGTCTGAGCAGTGCTTACACAGCATCAAGGGTTTCTCCCTTTCTCTCTCTGCTTCTCCCCCAGGAAACAGGTTGTGGCTGGACAAAAGGCAGGGAAGGAACAAGGCTGGGACAGCTGACCTCAACTGACCAAAGCAATATTCCATACCACAGAATGTCATTCTCAGCAGTAAAACTGGGGGGCAGCTTTCCAGGGGTTGCCACTGTTCAGGGACTGGCTGGAGATAAGTGACTACTTTTGCATCACTCCCCACCCCACCCTTTACTTATTAAGTTGCCTTTTACTCATAAGTTTTCTCACTTTTGCCCTTCCAATTCTCTCCCCCATCCTACTGGGGGACAGTGAGCAAGCAGCTACTTAGCTGCCTGCTGGGGTTAATCCACGTCTTCTGAAGTACATGTACACTTGATCTTTCTCCCCAGAAATAATGGTATTTAGTCCAGGTTTTCATCAATTCTGGCATTTGTCCAGTTCAAAGAAGCACGCGTTCTAATACCCTACATTAAAAGTTTCCTTTTCTGGAGTGTGCTGACATCCGGGAATACCTTGGTCTCCAGTAGGGCATCATTTTGCGTTTCCTCCCTACACACCTCTACCTACAATTCTGTTTCTCACATTCCTTAAAGATAAGACAGTTATGTAGATTCTTTTCTAATTAACCACATTACTGGACTGTTTTCCAGTTTTCCATATTAACTGCTAAGATTCTGAGAGAGAACTGCTAGTGGCTCAAGTATTGGTTTAGCTACTAAGTACTGCACAGCACATTTCAAGTCTGACAGCTTTAACACATACCTGTCCCAGCTCACCTTACTTACTTATTTTTCACTTTACTCTGGCATGCGCTTTTATGCTCTAATTCCAATTAAGCTCTGCATCTGGTTAGAAATCTGGAGAAACCACAGCACTGAAGTTTAATCTCTTTGCTTTCAACCTAGCTTACCTTCTTCACTATGTATTGCTCTTACAGTTTCATTCACTTTTTCTTTTATAGCAAATACCTCACTTAAGTTCTTCAACTGTAACTATTCAAAACTATAAACAACATTGTCAAGTGAAATCACATGAAAGAGCAGACAGGACAATACAGCATGTAACGCATGACACGTAGGTAAAAGTATCCAACTGACTACACAACCACCTAGCGTTAGCTGGTTTTAAAAATAAAATCTCTTTATTACTGATAGCAGGACAAAAATATAAGCTATCAATTGTAAAAATCTGTATTTTCTGCATTAAAATATATGCAAATTCAGTACACAGTGAAAATAACACTATCAAAACTACGGGTCAAAGACATAGAGAGAAGTGGCTATGCTGCACCATTTCCTTAAACATACATTCCACAGCAATAGTTCAGTCATTTGACTCAGTACAGGTGGTAATGCCTTAAAATTAGATTTAAAAATTAATGAAAAGAAATAAAACAAGAACCCCAGAGTCCAAATAGGGTATCAGTCTAGACTACACTTTTAAGAGTCATTTTGCAGCTACTCCCAAAAGTCTCCAGTGTAGGCTTGAGCCAGCATGCAACCACTCTTCAAAAGACCAAAGTAAACTGGGCTAGGTAAGATTAATATCCTATGCTGACTGTGTCAGACAGGGCTGCCTGTGAAAGGACTTGAACTAGACTCAATAACCAATACGGTTCCTTTGAGTGATACATTCCAAGCAGCTGACATGCATCCAGTTTCCCTGTATTACCACAACAAGATAGGTTTCATGCAGTGAAGTTATAAAATACGGATGGCAACTCTACTGGATTTCCCATTATGTAAGAATAGCCGAAATTCAGTCTGAGCCATCTACATCATCTTAAAAATTGAGTACAACAAACAAGGCAGAGCTCCTTTTTCACTGTGTAGAACTAACAACTCAGTGACTCAAACTGTGGAGTAGTCTCAAAGAGTTTAACTCTGTCACCTAATTCATAACATTTTCCACATAACAGAAATATCATTATTATAAAAAATCTGTTGAAATTTATATTCTTTGTAAATTTAAACAGAACTTTGTCAGTAAGAAAACAGTTATGAGGATAGCTATTCATCTGAGAGAATTTCAAAAGCTCTGGTATTTTAAGCAAGACTAAAAATACTCAACTGCTAAATGGCAATCACATGTAACACCCACAGGTCTGGCCTAATCTCTCTTCCCCTCTCCTTTTTTCTGGCTAAGGCCAAGCAGCAGGGGAGTTTTGAATACCTGATTCCTATAAAATTACCTAACTCCTAGAAAAAGCAACCAAAGAAAATCAGATTTTAAGCTACACATTTTGTACTATCACAAGGAACAAAGCACCAGTGTACTCACCTGCTTTTCTGCATGGTCTGCAGGCCAGCCTTGAACATGCTTTATAAGGTTTTCATTGAAGTGTGCTGCTAGCGTAGGTGTTAATGAACAAGTGGGTCGTACAGATGTATTCTGCGGTGCAGGTGTTGAATTTGATGCACTAGTGCTAGAGGTATGATTTGGACCTGGTGATGGGCTTCTCTGACTACTAGGAGAATCAGAAAAAAAAAAAAAAAAAAAAAAAGTGAGCATTAAAAATGCATATGTAAACCTATAAGGATATAAACACTTAAAATTCATTGCTTCCAGCCACAAAAATACATAAAGCATTTAAACCACAAGTAAATACTTCCAATAGCCCAAATCTGTGCTGGTCTTCCACAAACAACCTACTTGCATGGAACTGTTTGAGTGCTACAATGTAACAGGGGTTGTTTGCTTGTATGGGAGGGGCCTTTTTAAGAATCCCATCTCTTTTTATGTCTGACTAATCCACAAGAACTCTCGTACTCCCAATTTGCAAATACTCATCCTCCAACTTACACTTGGATGGTAAACTCTCTACGTAAAGTAGGTTTTTTTTGTTTCACCTTATCACTTCTCTCAACAAAGCGATGATATACAACCTGAACAGCTATTAAGCTACAGAAATTCCCCCAAAATATGCAAAACCCACTGATACTTAATTTTATTTTCCCTGTGTCCAGAAACCCAGGTATCAGGGACAGCCTGATCCAACCACATCCGACACAACTGTCAGAGCTGCGTCTGCACAGTTCTGCTACATGTAGAGTTCATAGCTGTTCTCTCATTTCTGTATTATCAGCAATAGAAAACTCCACAGCAACTTTTCCCAGCATCGAAAGAGCTATTTGGTGTATCACTTTTTTTAAAGGATAAGAACGTGGGGGGTTGTCTCCTCCCTGTAAGCACTGCCATCTAGGTGATACGATCTTCTACGAAACTGGAATTTGTGCTGGGAGGAATATATAACCCATGGTGAGGAAGCTTAGAAACTAGCATTTCAGCACGTGACCTTTTCTACTCTTCCATCCTTGGCAGCAGTTGTCCAATCACACCCTCCACCTCCCATAGAGAGGGGCTCTCTTTTTCTATTTTGCTAAGAAGGAGTGGGAGCAGCACTAGTTACCCATGTGAACAAGGACAGGTCAGGATGAAAAGTATGCCCTGTCCTCCCCACCCATGTAAGGGAAGACAAAGAAATAATCTCGAGTAGGACAGAAGAACATCACTACCATCCTAACAATGATGGCACCTCACAGTTAAGATGTTCTTTGGCACTACATATATTGAGAAATGGTAATACTACCTGTGCAAGTATGTAGCATTTACTTGTAAGATTATGTTTACAATCACTTTTCCACTGGGATCAGCTTTTTAAACACAGGCCAGAATTTCAGCCTATTTCTTAAAACTTTCTTACTACTTGCCTGCAAGTGATATAAAGTAACACAAACAAAAAAAAAATTTTTGAGAGGAATTTTAATTCATCACCTAATCTACCCCCTTAAGGACTGAAAACATCCTAGCAAAACGCAACTACCTTTACAGTCCCAATGCCCAGCCATTTATCCTAATCACTCACAGTTGAAAAGTATTACACAGCAGGTTTCCAAACAAACAGCCAACAAATTAGGTACAGCACACTGCTCTGCAGCATCAAAGACTTTAATCCCATTCCTTTCAGTACCCCCAAACTTGCTTAAAGCCTTAGAATATTTAAAAAAAAAAAAAAAAAATGTTAGCAGGCAGCTTTATTAGGAGTTGTATACATAATTTTCCCTTGATTTCAGGCAAAAGTTTCAAAAGGAATATATGATGTAATGGGAGGTAGGGGGTGGGGAAAGAAAGTATTCTTTGGCTTTTGGTTTTGTGCTCTGAGTTCTCTTTGGTAATTGGCTCAACTACTTCAAAACCACTTAAAAGTGCAAACACTTAACTGTAAAAATGTTCAACTGATTAGGGAAAAAAAAGGCATTTAGATTTTGAAGCTGGAGTGGAAACTAGCCAAGAACGTGAAAGGCAACAAGGGCTGTACATCAGGGCAAATCAAAGGTTAAGGAACAGGTAAGTTGCCCGTCTCAAGGCAAGGAGACCTAGAAATAAAGGACATGAAAAAGGCCAGGATAGCCAGTGACTTTCTTTTGCCTGGGGTTTTTAGGGTGTAGGCTGCCTTCAGGCCTCCCACATGCCCAAGCACATCAGAATCAGTGTGAGTAAAGTATTATCTACAGGCAAGGACGAAGTTAAGGAAGGAGTTAAGCCAACTGGACATACGTCCATGCAACCAGATGGTATGCACACAAGGGAAATCAGGGAACTGGCCAGTATAACTCAGATGCTGCATCATCTTGAAGCACGCATGGTGAGCAGGCAAGTTTCCTGATGATGGGGAGAAAAAGCAAATAATGCCATCTTCAAGAACAAGGACAACAACCTGGGAAACTACAGGCCAGCCAACCTTAATTTCTGGGAAAGTTATGGCGCAAGTCTTCCTGGAAGAGGTTCCAGCTGTATGAAAGATTAAAAGGCAAAACAAGAGCCAGCACAGATTTACCAAGAGGAAATTAAGCCAGATCAACCTCACTGACTTCTATAATGAGATGACTAGCTCAGAGGGTAAGGGTAAACTAGCAATGTTGTCTACCTTGAGTTCAAACTTCACTTATCCAGTCCATATTTCATGTGCAAGACAGGTGGAAAACTCAGTGAACTGTTGGGCTAAAAGACTCCAGTCAGCACAGTAAAAACACCAATCAAAAGCACCAGCGAGTGCTCTGCTTCACTGATTAATAATGAGGCCAATACTGTTTAACATCTTTATTTAAAGCCTGGAGAGGGGCACACAGTGCACCTTCAAGTGAGTCTGCAGGTGACACCTACTTACGGGAAGCAGTCGATATGCTAGAGGGTAGACTGCTTTCATAAGTACCTGAATGGGCAGCCAGAAGCCAAGTCCAAAAAAGGCAAGTGCAAAGTCCTGTACCTGGGGTGGAATAACCCCATGGAACAGCACAGGCTGAGTGGATAGAAAGCAGCTTTGCAGAGAAGGACCTGAGAATCCTCGTGCACAACTTAATGTAAGTCAGCAATGTACCCCTATGGCAAAGCAGGCCAAGCACATGCTGGGCTATATTAGCAAGAGTGTGGTTGAAGTAAGCAGTTCCTCTCTTCTCTTCACAGCTTGAGATCCACAGTACCTGGAGCACTGTGTAATGGGTAGCCCAAAACCATACAAGAATTAAACTGCTACACAAAAGGAATCCAGAAGAGGACCACACAGATGACAAGCGGGCTGAAGCATATGCTGTATCGGGAGAAGCTAGAAGTTTATTTAGCCTGGAAAAGAGAAGGCTGAGGGAAGGGCACTGAAGGATCTTCTTAGCGCTTTTAACTACCTATGGGGTGAGCAGACAGCCAGGCTATTTTCAAAGATGCACAGTGACAGGACAAGGGGTAGAGACACAAGCTGCAACAGAGGAAACTCTTCATTACACAGAAGGAAAAAAAACATTTCACCATAAGGGTAGTCAAACAGAAGAAGATGCTCAGAGATATTAAAAAAAAAAAAAAAAAAAAAAAAGTCACCTGAACAATGCTCTTAGAAATTCAAACTTTGAGTCCTACTTTGAGTTGGGACTTGGACTAGATCAAAACTACAAGACTCTTCCAACTGAAATTATTCTCTTTCTATGTATTCATACAGGACCAGCATACTGATGGTGCAGAGAAAGACTGAATTAGTGTTAGCTAAGCAGAACTGAGGTATCACCTTCAATGCTTATTTACGTTCTAATAGGATAAAAGTTCCCCTATGACTTGCCTCCATTCTTTTTATCAACCTGGCTTCTCTGACTCCTACTTCATCAGTAAAAATCACTTTCATACATCAGAAACATTTCAGGAAAATAAAATCTGTGAGTTTCATATAAAAAGATAAAGCTGTATTTTAATTATGAATAAAATGCACTGTCATAAAATATCCTAGCACCTCTGTGTCAGCAGCAGGGGGAGCTACGAATGCAGCAATGATAGGAACTACTCCTGTTTTTTTTACATGGTTCAATAAAGCCAAATACCCAGCTGAGCTGCTGGTTAAATCAAAACCTGACTATGCAGAGGTAACAGAATGCTTCCAGAGAGGCAAACACCATCTGTACAAGATTATGAGACCAGGATGGCTCTGAAATATACTACTACAAAATACAAACTCTTACAGCCTACAAAACCCAAAAAACACCTTCCCCTCCAGCAGTTTAGCATTTTCTAAGGTAAAGGAAAAATATCCCCAGTCCTTTCCGGAAAAAATTATGGAAGCATTCATTTAATTCCACTTTAAAGTCACCATAATTCATGGCAGGTCTTTGCAATCATCTCTTACAAAAAGACTCACTGTATGACTACGTAGCATTCATTTCCTAAATTCACATGACTGAAACATTTACAACTTTAAAAGTTATCAACAGCTACTGACATATTTCTTAGACAATGCTTCCTCCCAAACAAGTTAAAGTTTATTTTAGCTCCATTTGCTTAAAGTTTTTAATAACAGTAAAAGCAAAGAAAATCTAGTTGTGATTAACTCTGTATATAAGCTGTAGAAAAATGCAACCTTAATTCATACAGCCTCTATTTGGACTCCCTGTCCATAGTTCAGGTTGCTAAGCTGCTGTTCATTCCTATAAAAAAAGTAAAGGGAGTTAGCCCCAAGAGCAGTCCCTCATCCGACTGACTGCTTTCACATAGAAAGGAGTAATCTGTTCTCTATCAATTCAGAAATACTGCCCAGACTCAGAAAATCTTTTGCAGATAAGTAAATCTACATCTGATCTGGCCCGTTTTCATTCAACTCCACTACACTGTACAGAATAAAATACCAGTTGCACAGCTTATTCCAAAACATCTGTTCCTTCACCTTCTATTTATTTGCAAATAAGAAACTTCTAAAAGATAGAAACACATGAACTGCTGATGCACAACATGCCACAGTTACAAACGTAACTATTTGGAAGATACAGGATACTAAACAATATGGTCACAGTATCTTTGATACTGGCCTTCACACTCTTCTCTATTTGCGCCCTAACTCTTCCTCAAATACAGGACAATGCTACCTGCATGATGCCTCTACTTCAGCGGTACAGATGCTGGGATAAACTCAGCTTCCCTCCTCCAGCAAAATGCTGATGCCATGTGAACTAATGGTTTGCAGAGGGCCAGTGGGTGCCTAAGGGAACTCAGTGTGGGTAATGGTTATGCCAGAGTAGGAAGTCCTATAGCCTTAAGTGAGGGTGGGGTATGGATCAGCAGGCCAAAATGCCCACCAGCATCACTTCACACAGACTCCAGGCCATAGTGAATGTTTCTAAGAATTAGACTATCTTTCTAAGCAAGATTTCCTATGGGGAAAAGGTGATCAGTAAAGGACAAAAGGGTCTGTGACTGAGAGCTGTCCCCCAAAACCTCACCATTCCTTATAAAAAAGTCTAATGCCCCTATTAGAAAGGTCTAGCTGGTTGTTAATTTATTTTTGGTTAATTTATTTTTGTACTGTAATTCAGAAATATCTAAACGCTATCCATAGTTACTAGAGATTGAAGCTGGTACTCTACATCTTTTTTCTACCCATAGAAGAAAATGAATTGTACGTCAGACATCTGCCAAAGATTAGAAGTGTAAGACAGCCAACATTAAAGACTCAAAAACTTCTGACCTGCTTCTGTTTACACCCTCAAACTGAACATCACAGTGTCTCCATAAACCCAGGACACGAAGCAAATCAGAGTTAAAGCTTTTAATCCCATAACTGCATAGAAAGAAATGAAACCTCCAAACTCAGAAATCACAATACATGGAATCGCTTGCAAAATTTACTCCAGAGTGGCTGGCAGAAATGTGAATTCTGTTTTGCTTCTGTGAATGGAACTCTAATGGTGGTCCTCAAACAGCAGATTAGCTCTGGTAGATAATATATGAGCTCTGTTAAAAAAGGTATTTAGCTGCATCCTCTAAATCGTATGTTTAATAGGCCAAAGAAACCACAAACTGCAGTGTATACAACACACATTAGATCCAGAGAAAAAAAGAAGGATTTCAATATACCTTGAGCGCTGAAGACTTCGTGGGGAAGCAGGCTCATGACCTGCCTGCTTGTCAGCTATTACCGGCTGCTGAGGTGCTGCCTGTGAAGCTGGTCCTTGTTTAACACCTGGAGTAGCAACCTGGAAAGTTCAGAAATTCGTTAGATTTCCTCCACAACAAATGCCAAGTGTAAGAACCAAAGGAAACCACAGAAATCACAAGTTATAAGTCCAGTGGGGCTTCTGCTACGAGGTCTTCTGTTGACAGAACTTTTATACTCTTCACACAGTGCCTTTTTTTTAAATAAATCCCCTCTAGTTCACAGCTGTGAGAGACAGCTTTTATAACTGAAATAGAAAAGAGTCCTTAACAGACATAATAGAAGCAAATTTAGATCTGACTTGTCAAAATATTGCAAGTTTATTAGGTAAAATAGCTTAACTCAATCTCATTTTTAACCACATCTTCCATGTAAGCACTAAGCTCCCTTTCAACCTCAGAAGAACTGTCATTATCCAAATAAAAATTTTCACTTAAAAAGTTAAAAGTTCCCTACTTGAAAACATATTACACAATGCTAAGAGCAGAATCAGGTCATAACTGTATGGTAACAGCTCTATCAGAAAAGGAAAAAAAACCTAAAGCATATTTTTCAGTTTGCTACTCTTCCTTTTCAACTGTTCTGTCAGACTAATGAATGACTAATAAAAAGTCACCAGGTTTTTTTTGGTTTTTTTTTTTTTTTTTGGTAGGACACATTCACACTAAAGATATTAAGACACCAGCAGTGAGATATGGTCTTTTTAATGTGATTCCTGAACTACAACAGGATGAAAAGTGTGGAATATACTAGTGTCTAAGTTACCGAAAGTGGAGTTCAAGATATTTTTTTTGCCCCATAATCTGCCTACCTCTGTCCCTTCTTAAGTACACACAAAAGAGGAAGCAGCTCCAATATTTATTCCCCACTCTGGAAAAATCAAGTGAATAATTTTAAGAAAGAGAGAGGGAAGAAAAATGAGCTCTAGGGATCCATAAAGAGAACAATATAAATCAGGCAGCCTGCCTGGCATTTGTTAACGTAAAGCTGGTGTAGATTACTAACTAGTGGTCATTTGGACCTCTAGAAATTCCCTCAGTTTCAGAAAAAGACTTCTGTGAAACAAACCACAGAGGGCAAGTTAGACAGTATCTGCTAAAGTAAATGCAAGACATAACTTCACTTTTTAAATATACAGAAAATCTTAATGTAATCTTGAACTTAAGAGGAAAAGCCACCTTTTAAAATCATTACCAAAAGACAAAAAAAATAAATCTGAATAGCACATGAAAAGTCATGGTTCTGGAAAGATAAAGCAAGATCATTTTACGATCACTTACTGTGTTGAAATCAACAGGATTATACAGCTGGGGAAGGAGGGAGGCAGGGCAAAACAGGAGTTCATAAATTAGTTTATGGAAAAAAACAAAACCCCAACAACAAAAAAAAACCAAAAGCCAAACCCCAAAGTATCTTTATGAAATGTATGATGTGAAAAACTTCTCTACTAATGCCTGAATTTTGCTCACCCTGTGAACAGACGTAACTATGGAGGCTGTACGAACAGAAGGAACAATTTCAAAAGCAAAGTCCATCGGAGATAATACAATCACCTGGCAGATCCAAACTGGAAAATTAACCAGCTTCTTGGCTGGTAAAAATAAAACCAAAAACAGATTGTAAAGAAAAAGTGGGATTTGTGAGATAAATGATCCACAAAGACTCTGAACTATTCCCTGTTTTCCAAGTGTTTCAAAGACCTTAAGTGTACCAGGATCGGAAAAATATGAAGGGCTAAATAAAAATAATTCCATAAGCTACATTCTCAGTGAGCTTGCCAGGCGTGTGTAACACGCTTTACACAGTTACAGTGCAGAATTCCAGAACAGTTGCTAACCACACAACACAGGCACAGCTAAACAGCAAAACGTAAAGCCTAGGATTCTGGAGCCTGTGATACATGAGCTGCCATGTACACACAGCACACCTCCACGCAAACATACCAGCTCGAGTTTAGAAACATTAGACACGTTCACGCAGTCCTAAGTAACAGGTTCTGCTGTGCAAATGGTGCTACACTGTTCCCAGAGCCAGCCCAAGTAACCCTGCATCTGACACTTGGCCCTGCATGCATGGTGCCAGTTCAGCTTTGTTCACACCTGCTGCATAGAAGCACCTTAAGTCAATGACCTTGTGCTCTGACACCAGTTGTGTCCTGGCACAGCACCACATCTCAATTATGCACAATTTACCTCAGACTCTTAGAACTGGATAATGTAGCCTGACTGACATATCCAAAGAAGCACTAAAACAGACATGCTCACACTGGAGCTAGCACCACCTAAATTCTCATCTCAATCCCACCTCACAGAACTGGATTATGTGAATACTGGAGGTACCTAGAAAATAGAAAGCTTTTATGCTTGTGATATCCTAGTGTAGTAAGAGTTAACTTCCTGACAGAGGGATGATAATAAAAGCTTGCCAATACATACAATAATGCACAATAGTCCCTCAGGATTAATAGCATTCCAAAGAAAAGACATTATAGTTTACAATGAGTAACTCAGAAATTTACTACACTTAACACTTTGATTGCAACCACACTGTTAAGTGCTTCAAAAATTAACCAGATGTGCAATCTCAGCTCATTGTGGTAGAAACTTAAGGAAAGATGGATTAAAATACAGTAATTTCAGAAGGTGTCACAGTATGCTCATCAAAATACAGATGTCACCACTTTCAGAAGAACTTCTATATATGTATCAATAAAACATACAATATCCTATTTTGAAAAGGTTGGAGGTGAAATCCTGCATGCCAAGTCACTAACTACAGGCAATCAAAGAGCCCTGCATGTAGTGGAGATCCTCTTATCAGACAAAGCATAAAATAACCAATACTTCTTTTTGTTGGTTTTTGAGGAGTGGCAGCATTGCTGTAGTTATGACCTGCACTAAATGCAGATCAACTCTTTTCTAAGCCCTCAAGTTTATTGCTTCGACTGAAAACCTGACGGAAGACACATTCAATGACAGCCAGTCTACCAAGACAGGCTGGCCCCACTTAAAAGACTTGTCTTCACTTTCTCTTATGGCATAGTTTACTACCATGACACCTACTTCAAAGGTATAATGCCAGCCTTTATACTGGGTGAAAGGTAGTGGGTTCCCAGTTTGTCTGCACACATGTAGGAAAACATCTGTAGCAAGCTGATAAATACTAAAGCAGCTAGGTTTATAAAACAAGGATAAATGCTTTTGTCATGATTGTAATGTACATGATAATCAGAACTTTATTTATACAGTAGAAACAGATCTTGGATTGTAGAGACCAGAACAGACCAACTTCCAGTTACTGACAATAAACAACTTAGTAAGATTCTTCCCATCTTTGTTTCAAGTCTATTGATTCTGCTGATCAAGCTATTTGATAATTTCATTCCTTGTCACCTAGCTATGGGATCCTAGTTCAGGATGCACTCTAAGGTCAGAAACAAAAGACAACTAGCAGGATTAGTACACACATGAGGCTTTCACAATTCACTGTACTATTGTCAGTCACAACAAACTGGTATCAGAGGTTCTCTTCCAAGCAGAAGATTTCAAGAAAGATGGCTGAGCTAAGGGGAGAGGGGTGCTGGGGGATGCGTGGAGTGTGGAACAGGGACTTGGGTGGGGGTGTCTGTGGAATTAGAGGCCACTGTTCTCACATCCCAGATTCCAGAATCATGCTTCTTGCGCTGGTAAGACACTACATACACTGAGCAACATACTATACTGACAGGCTGTGTTTAAATATGAGTGCCTCAATCTTGAAAGAAAGATTTGCACAATGAAGAGACAGTCAGGCTCTCGTTGCACGCAAAAAGCAAACCCCTAGGAGAGGTCCAAATCCTCCCCAGTGGACTTCTATTTTCCACAGCCAGAACAACACTGTAACTGCTAAATTTCTGTTTCTTACCTAAAAGGCACAGGAGTTTTATGCCCTGCAGCTCTAACCATCCCTACAAACTATCTTCAACATAAAAGGTTACTTTCCACCAGAGGGTGCAAATCCATAGCTCTGCCTTCAGTCCTCTTCAGTAACAAAATCCTCCTTCCTAAGAGGTCCTTGAACCCAGAATCTCTTAGCATCCTTACCCTAATATGAATCACAAGTCTTCAAACAACTACAAAGAAAACCTGTAAGGGGAAGTTCATCTTGAGTGCCTCTAATTACATCTACCTTCCCCATCTGTACACAGCAAAAGAGTCTCTGATCTGCTGGACAGAGAAAAAAATAATCTGTCTCAGCTTTGACATTATTTTTACTCAATTTCACCATTTGCAGGATATGGAATACTCAGCTCAGGTTCTACAAAAGACAGGCTTCCTCTGAAGAGTGACCTGCTAGAGGGATCACCCCAAACATACACATACAAAAGAGTAATAAAAGACAACTTAATGTTTTTTACTTTTGCTACTTTGTTTTCTACTTCATCATTAGGAAGAACCTTATGAGCTTATTCATTAGTTTCAATTGATGTTTCCTTGTCACTGATGCCATTAAGTAATTCTGAATGAATAGAGGTGAGGGGGCAGGAAGGGAAAGGGACATAATGTTACTGACTTTGTAAACACTGAGAACATTTCCAAAACAAATTTGAAACTACATCAAGTCATCTTCTCCAAGAATTTCTCTCCCATTCTAAAAATCTTTTATTTGCTAAAGTCTAGAGAACTGCATCAGCTGTTGCCTTTGGAGTAAGTTTTTGTTTTCATTTAAATTTGTTAAAATACTGATCTCTTGGTAGTATCTCCAGACTGCATCTGAAGCAAGCAAAGTATTTTTAAAAACAGAAGAGTGTACCAGAATTGCATACTAGAGTTGTACAGCAAGAATACAGCCAAGTAGTTGCTTCCAGTTGTTTCTGGTTATATTGGGAAAGATAACATGCATATTATATCATCCTATATATAACTGTCAGGACACGGGTTTAACAACAGCAATACTTACTACTTGTAACAGTTTCTTACTACAATATGACATAAATCAAAAGGAGCTTACCTTTTGCTGCGATGATACCGGTGGCGTAGTCATCAAGGGTTTAAGCGGAACGGTGTTAGTCTGAGGCGTGCTTATTCTTGGAGATACGTATGATCTTGGTGATGAGGCATCAGATGTTAAAGACATTGGAGACTGATTAGATGGCTGAGCTATAAGGAAAAAAAAAAGAAAGATTCTTTTAAATAAACCGTATCCTATCTTAAATGTGAATTAAGATTTGGTTTTGGTACTTTGGAGAATACACAAACATATTCACCTTGAGACTGCTGGGTGGGTGAACAACTGGAACAATCAAAAGTTCATCAACAATCCTAATTTAAGAATCCTATTTTCCCCAAACCCTCCACTTATAAAACTTGAAGGGAAGGAGAAAGAGAAGAAGCTATTATGCAATGCTTCTTACAGATGAAAAGCCTAAATTAGTTTCATTTGTGATTCCTATTTTAGAGTGCTCAACCCAACTGAACTGAAAGAATGAACAATAGTTTGTCTAGAAACCTACTCACCCATTCTAGGCATCTACCAACAACCCCCTGCCCATGTTTTAATTACTGGTTAAAAATCAGCATGAGCATAATACAGCTTACCTACTCAATAACATTTGTTGTTTTGGTTTAAATTTCTAGCTTTATTATGTTACAAACTAAAATTTATTGAAGACACCTGAAGGAATATCTTGCTTGGAAGCTGTGAAATACTATTTACAGAAGACTGCACAAAACTCCCTACCAGACAGAATAAACTTTCTTTTACAAATTTAAGGCCAACCCTAATAGTCACAGTTGCGCAATATTACAAGGGTGTTGAACTAAGGAAAAGTTGTGGTTCAAATTGGACATTAAATAACAACTAATTAAGGTTCAAAATAAGTTAAGAGGGTCTCACGGATGTTTCACATTACTTGCATAGTTATGTAACATAATCCATGGGTCCTGAAGGAGCTGGCGAATGAAGTTGCTAAGCCACAGTCCATCATATTGGAAAAATCATGGCAGCCAGGTGAATTTCCTGATGACTGGAAGAAGGGTAATATAACCCCCATTTTCAAGAAGGGGAAGGTGGAAGACCCAGGGAACTACAGACCAGTCAGTCTCACCTCTGTGCCTGGCAAAATCTTGGGAGTAGAGTCTCCTGGAAAGCATGCCGAGACACATGAAAAAC